ATGTAGGGGCGTAGTACAGGTCCAACAACTGGTCTACAGGCACGTAAACCCGCTTCTTTCAGACGGTTCCTAATCGTTTGAGCTGACACTCTCCTCAAACCTGGTATTTGTGTGGCAGTCACGGTTGGTAGGGCATGCCGATTACGCAGGTGATGGACCCGGATGTACCGATCTTGAAGGGGGGTCGTGATTCTTGGCCTTCCACTTCTCGGGCGATCGTTGGTCAAATTGAAGTTGTTGTAGCGGCTCCAAAGTCGGGATATCGTTGTTTTGTGAACATTTAGGTGCCGTGCAACAGTTCCAAAACTTTCTCCGGCTTGAACACGACCAATGGCGATATTTCGGTCGGCAGCACTCAATCGTGGCATTTTAACACAGCTTTTCGGCGACAAATGAATGAATATCATACGGAAGCACATGGGCTTTTATACACCCCTACATTAACTGCCATTTTCATGATTTGCATGTGTTTTTTTTGTGCGAAGTCACCATGAGGGTCATTTCATGCGTTGTGACGGAATAAGCAATAAAATACACTTATGCGTACAAATGCAGTTGTTTGGATGGTAATCTTCATTAATTACGTGTATCATTTCAATACATTCGAATAAAATTTAGTTTGGAAGCAATAACTTCATTCAAACGAATTTTTCATATCTGAGGACAGGGGTTGCGTTTCTTTTTTGACAGAGTTTACTTTGTTGTCTAAAAGAAAGGTGGTTACAGTGAGTGAGTGAGTGAGTTTGGTTATACGCCTCTTTTAGCAATATTCCAGAAATATCACGGCAGTGGACACCAGACATGGGCTTCACATATTGTACCCATGTGGGGAATCGAACCCGGGTCTTTGGTGTGACGAACGAACGTTTTAACCACAAGGCTATCCCACCGCCCCTTATATATTATAGACTGTACATAGTATCAACGCCCACTTGGTGATGTGTTAGAGTATGTTTCATCGTAAGTCAACTATTGCATGTCGTTGTGTACATTGGGACGTGTATAATGATTAAAGCAGTATGCATCCTGTGTAACGAATCTCCATGTGGTGTTTACCTAATATTCTTCTCATATAGGTAACTGATTGTGAACATGCTCTAATAATCAATTGTAAACATTTCCATATTCACTGATTATGTATGTTCATGTTGGTGAATGTCTAATAAACTCGTGTGTGTGTGTGTGTGTGTGAGAGAGAGAGAGAGAGAGAGAGAGAGAGAGAGAGAGAGAGAGAGAGAGAGAGAGAGAGAGAGAGAGAGAGAGAGAGAGAGAGAGAGAGAGAGTGGTATCTCTTGTCGAGCGAGCTGATATCTCAATACACTCGCGTCTTACTACACCCATACTCTACCAAGAACATCCTCCGCCACTAGTTCCGTGTCATGTGTATGCTAAGGCAAAAGGGATATTCCAACAAAATCAAGTACTACAGACATCGTTTATGTTTTTATGGTTGTGCAGTGAACCTTCAATCTTAATTTCATCTGTATATTTTTTCATTATTTCACAGTCCTGTTCAATTCACCTAGTTCTAATTTTGGCCATATCAAAGTACAAGTATCAGAATGATCTTACATTTAGTAAGCTTTCCTGTAAGGATCTTTCAGAAAAAGGCAACAAAAGATGTAAACATTGTTTGCATTATACATGTACCCGAATCTAATATCTTCTATCTAAATATTGCCTACATTTCCTTTAACTATTCTATATCTATTTAAATTTATAGACAGATAGATAGATAGATAGATAGATAGATATTCAAATTGCTTACAAATATCATCCACATATATGTTGCTTACATTTATATACACACATATACAAACGCGTGCGTGTGTGTGTGTGTGTGGTCAGTCAATTTGTTCTCATCACTCTGATTTCGAAAGACTCGATCGCCATGATAGTGCTGGAATATTGTTAAAAGCGGCGTAATACTAAACACACTAACTCACTCGAAAGGCACGAGTTCGATTCCTGACATAGGGCCAGTATTTTTTATGAAGCCCATTCATGCTTTATGATGCGGCCGTAAAAGTGCTTAAAGCGTACAAAACCATACAAATGTATACATACAGTCCACGTATAGAACACAACTATGAGGTACAACAACATAACAAACGAAATAATTTATTTCATAACACAATAATAGACATTCTTGTATACATAAATGTAAGGTTATCTTATATATCATGAATAAAGATGGTATTGTAGTCTCTCGTACAGACCCTGAAGCAAATATATCCAAGAAAGCCCATGCAAGTCTAGAAAATGTGGCAAGTCTAGATTTCCTCAGCTTGAAGAAAGTCTCAGGGCTCCTTTTCATTATATATATATATTTTTACTATGAACGTTTTTTTCAGTAAAATATGTTCAGTTCAGAGACTAGTTGTTAATCTAATGATATTGGTATTTGGGAATACTTGCACTTGGAATAAAGGTATAATAGTGCACAAAGCATGATCGCGACATGATCCTGATAACTACATGGGTAAGAAAATAACTATATATGTGAAGCACAAGCAGGCGTGAAGCTTGGATATGCAACAACCTACACCGTGCTCACACTTGTATACAAAGGGTAGATTCTGTGTTGCCTTTTGCCTTTCAAAAATCATTTGATTCTAATGATAGAAATAAACTTATAAATGTTCTACAAAAATGTCCATCTGTTAAAATGTTGAATATGATTCAGTCTATGCATTCCACTGTAACAGCCAGCTTTCTTATCTTACACTAACGCTTAATCTATGAATGTATATAATTTTGATAGGAACAAATGATCCAATTTAAATTGAGAAACACACCTAGTGAGTTGAGAGATTCAGGACCCAGGCCTAGACTTGCTTCATTTAGGGCTTAAGCATTACAGGGAGGGCTAAGCAGGAGGTGGAATAATGTGGTTCAGGGACTGAGACAGACTAGAGTACAGCATAACGCTGGCTTTATTGAGTGTTTTGAATGTCTTATTGTACTGAAACAGGGCTGAATATTAAGTATCATTTTATTTACTCTATTTATTAATGAGTTGGTTGCCGATGTCCTTGATGGATGTCGTGGAGGAGTACAATTACTCCCTGATTTACATGAACTGTTTCTACTGATGATGTTATGTAAATGTCTGATCGAGTAAGTGGGCTTCAGGAGCAACTGATTATTCTTGATGACTACTGTTCAACATGGAAGTTAAATGTCAATCATTCGAAACCAAAACAACGTGTATTATCGTAATAAAATTGTAGAAGTTGTTCAATAAAATAAGTACCTTGGACTATTGATGACTCCATCATTAGATTTTACAACATAAGTTTCACATTTGGCGTTAAACGAGGAAAAGCTATTAATGAGTGTTTTCAAATTAGTTTTGACATATTGAAAAGTCCCACTCGGAATATTTTTCAAAATATTTTGATTAAAAAATTAAACCCATCTTTCATTACGGATGCGAAATATAAGGGACATCAATGAATAGAAGTGGTAGAAAGGGTCGAAATTTCTTGCAGGTAAACACAATCTTGGGACAAGCATTAACGCTCCTAATGCAATGGCTCTCGGGGAATGTGGACAATACCCAACCCATTGTGTATATATATAGTTCGGTGAAAAATGCAAAGTGATATTAATGATAAGGCCTTAGCCGCAGGTGTGGGGACTAATGAAGGCAGAATAAACCCAAAAGGACTTAGAAACATTGAGGATATGAAGAAAGAAGTGGTCGAATATTGGGATCCGCTGTCACACGATTTTCTACAAACTTTGATCGGTAGTGTACCTAGGCGCATTCAGTCGTGTATTGCAGGGCAAGGAGGTCTCACAAGGTACTGAAAAGACACTTAGACTGTAAGAGAATCATATGTCAACATTTTCATTTCAGTAAAACTTCTATAGTTTATATACATGTATTAGATATTTGCCGAAACAACTTTCTCAATAATTTCTGGGAATATTGTACATACATATGTACACACTATACACACATACAGACATTTATGCACACACACACATATCTAATTATTATGAAAATCAAAAACGTAGATTGAAATACTCCTCTCTCCACCCATTCTGCCCATTTCCTCAATGTAACACATTTTAGATGATACTGATTAATATATGTACGCAGATCATTAATTTTGTCACACGCATATCATTTGTCACATATGTATCATTTGTCACACATAAATCATTTTTCACACACAAATAATTTGTCTCACACATCATTTGTCACACACAAAAATTTTTGTCTCACACATACCATTTGTCACACACATCATTTTTCACACACAAATAATTTGTCTCACATAAATCATTTGTCAAACATGTATCATTTGTCTCACACAAATCATTTGTCACACACATCATTTTTCACACAAATAATTTGTCTCACACACATCATTTGTCACACACATAATTTTTCAAACAAATAATTTCTCTCGCATAAATCATTTGTCACACATATCATTTGTCACACACATGTATCATTTGTCACACACAAATAATTTGTCTCACACATATCATTTGTCACACATATCATTTGTCTCACACATATCATTTTCACACACAAATAACTTGTCTCACACATATCATTTGTCTCACACACATCATTTGTCAAACATGTATCATTTGTCACACACAAATAATTTGTCTCACACATATCATTTGTCACACATGTATCATTTGTCACACACAAATAATTTGTCTCACACATATCATTTGTCACACACATCAATTATCACACACAAGTAATTTGTCTCACATAAATCATTTGTCACACACATATCATTTGTCACACATATATGGATGTTTGCCAACTTACTGGTATGAAGGTCAGTACTGATAAGACTAAAGCTATTGTGTTCAGAAATAGTAGGCCCATCAGACAGCATGAAAAGTTGTTTCTTTATTGTCAAAGGCTGGAATTTGTTTCATACTACAGGTATTTGCTCACTCCAAAGCTAGTATGGACTAAAGCTCTGACTACTCTTGCTTCTCAAGCCAATAAATCCCTTATGGTTTTCTATAGATACCAACAACGAGTAGGTTATTTGTCATGTGTGGATCTTTTCAAAATATTTGATGCTATGGTTAAATCTTTTCTTTGTTACGGTTCAGACGTTTGGGGTGTCATTCATTGTAAAACCAATGAACAAATCCAGATAAAACATGTTAATATTTCTGAAAAGTTGGCAAAATACTTGTAACAAAATATGGTTCATTGTGAATGTGGCAGATTCCCTCTTGAACTTATTTGTATGTCCAGGGCAGTTAAATAATGATGTAGACTTTTAACTCTTCCAAGTTGTAAGATTACCTCATCAGTGTTATTTAATGTTAAAGTCTTTGGATGAATCTGGACATACGACATGGGCATCTCATATCAAGAACATTATATTTGGATTTGGGCTTGGGTTTGTTTGGATTTCCCAGGATATTGGAGATGTTGAGGGTTTCATTTCTGTCTTAAGCAGGGATTGTCTGATAATCTTTCACAAGATCGGTACTCATCCCTACACAATACAACCAAGTGTTCTACTTATATACCTTTCAAATCCCTCCGAAATGTTGAAACTTATCTCAGTTTAGATATTGCCCTATATTCAAGATATTTGCCCTATATGTGGTAATTGTAAACTTATTTCTGAGACCTGTAGATATAACAATGTCTCTTATGATACAAGAATTTGTCCTTTTGTGAAACAAATAATCTTATTCCAATTGATGAAATAAGATAAAATACATGTTTTACTTATTTGTAAAGCCTACTTTGATACAAGGAATAAATTTCTAGATAAACATTTGAAACATCTTCTATCACAACACAGTTTTGTTAACATAATGTCTTCAATAAACATTAATGTTATAAATAATTTATGCCTATTTTTAATATAATGTTGGGAAAATAAAAATTCTGACGTTTTTGTAAAATGTATGTAAATTCATGCCAAATTTATATTTATGCATGCATTTTGGGCCAGTGGCCTATTACTGAATGTCTGTCTGTCTTGTGTTCTTTAATGCGAATGTTGATTGGTCTTGATGTTTCCCCGATGTAGTTGCTGCCACAGTCAGAGCTGATGTTGTAGACCACACCTTTTGGCTGTTGTTGTTGCGCTGCGTATTTCCTACCGTAAGCCCTCATGGTGGTTTTGAGTGGTGTGGCTGTGGTGAAGTAAGTGTCGATGCCTGCTTGCTACTTTAATAACGACTGATGTTTTCCTTCATCAGGGGTAGTGGCATTCGAATGGGTGCCGATTTGGGCTTGTTAGTGTTGGGGGAGAATGGGTGTAGATTCGGTCTTGTTAGTGTTGGGGTGAGAATGGGTGCAGATTCGGTCTTGTTAGTGGTAGGGTGAGAATGGGTGCAGATTCAGGCTTATTAGTGGTGGGTGCAGATTCAGGCTTGTTAGTGGTAGGGTGAGAATGGGCGCAGATTCGGGCTTGTTAGTGGTGGGGTGAGAATGGGTGCAGATTCGGGCTTGTTAGTGGTGGGGTGAGAATGGGTGCAGATACGGGCTTGTTAGTGGTGGGGTGAGAATGGGTGCAGATTCGGGCTTGTTAGTGGTGGGGTGAGAATGGGTGCAGATACGGGCTTGTTACTGCTTGGGTGAGAATGGGTGCAGATACGGGCTTGTTAGTGGTGGGGTGAGAATGCATGGGTGCAGATTCGGGCTTGTTACTGCTTGGGTGAGAATGGGTGCAGTTACGGGCTTGTTAGTGGTTTGGTGAGAATGCATGGGTGCAGATTCGGGCTTGTTAGTGGTGGGGTGAGAATGGGTGCAGATTCGGGCTTGTTAGTGGTGGGGTGAGAATGGCTGCAGATACGGGCTTGTTAGTGGTGGGGTGAGAATGGGTGCAGATTCGGGCTTGTTAGTGGTGGGGTGAGAATGGGTGCAGATACGGGCTTGTTACTGCTTGGGTGAGAATGGGTGCAGATACGGGCTTGTTAGTGGTTTGGTGAGAATGCATGGGTGCAGATTCGGGCTTGTTACTGCTTGGGTGAGAATGGGTGTTCATGCTGTGTTCATGCTGTTGATCACTGGATTGTCTGATCCAGACTCAATTATCTACAGACCGCCACCATAAAGCTGGAATGTTGCTAAGTGCGGTGTATAACTAAACTCACTCACTCACTCATTCCACTGCGAATCTCCATGTGTCTCTGTAAATAAGCTGTTTGTGCAAATGTTTTCCCACACGCAATACACTGATATGGTTTGTTTCCACTGTGACTTCCCACGTCTTTCTTCAAAATACCTGGTTTTGTAATATTTGCCCACATTCATGACATGCATAAGGTTTTACTGCACTGTGAATCTTAAGCTTATCTGATTGAGTAAATGTTTTTTCACATCCAACACATTGATAATGTTCTGATTTTCTGACAAATTGATAATGTTCTGAAGAGTATCTGATTTTGTAAATTTTGTCCCACATTTAACACATTCAAAAAGTTTGATTCCATTGTGAATCCTCATGTGTTTCTGAAGGTCACCTGAGTGTGTAAAGGTTTTCTCACGCACAATGCACTTATGGGGCTTGATTCCACTGTGAATCTGCACGTGTGTTCACTTGATAGTGTAAATGTTTTCCGACATTCAGCACACTGATAAGTCTTGTTTCCACTGTGACAGAACATGTTTCTTTTTAATAACGGGTTCTTTCATCAGATCACCAGTTTCCAGAGTTCCAATAACGAGTTGTTTCTTGAGATCTCCTGTTTCCAACAACCCCTTTAACATATTTCATTTGTTTCAGTGACAGAGAAACGATTCTGTAGATTGAATGATCAACACTAACTAACTAAGTCAGCCTTTAGTATTCTCGTTACTGAGTAAAATAAACAAAATGTGCTGTTCAGTCCTATTTTATAAAGTCACAATAATGTATATAAGATTGAGGAAAATATTACGTATTTTAGAACTATGACGGGCGTCGTGGAGTTTTTGTCCTCAAAAGCTTTTATGTTGAGACTGACTGACTGACTGAGTTTGGTTTTACGCCGCTTTAAGCAATATTCCAGCAACATCACGGCGGGGGACACCAGAAATGGGCTTCACACTTTGTTTTTATGTTGAGAACATTATAGAAAATACAATTAAGCAACATAAAAAAATGAATGCCAGAAAACAAAATCACATCAAACATCAGATATATAAATGATTACACGATATAATGTATTGCTCAGATGCAATGCCCACACACAAAATTAAATACAAACGTGTCTGTCTGACCAAGGACCTGATCTAAACTGTTGTGGACTTGACAAATATACATGTATGTACTACAAGGTTGTGATAAAATCTTATGGAGCTGACGGGCATTAAATAAAGATATTCTTAAGTTGCTAGGGGGTAACAAGGAAAGTTGTAGTCAGCTTGTTTGTAATGGTGAATCATGGCAAATCAACAGAGAGAGTAGGGGACAAATAACCTGAGAGTCGAAGGTTGTCACTAGTTATGGCAGCTGGATGTTCCTGTAAGAAGGTCAAATAATCAGAGACACGACTTGGACATTAACACAATCAGGACCTGTTGTCAGTACTAGCAAGAGACCATTCTGAGAAGCGGAGCGTCGGCGATATAGTAGGAACAAGACAGAAGCAACACCTACAGCGAGTAATCCTAAAAGGATAGACACGTGATAGACATATCTCCAGCGACTGTTGAGAGTGTAGATGAATCAAAGAAATGTTGAAGTAAAGCTAGATTGACAGACAAAGGTTTAGAGATAACCAATTTGTTGCATGATGAAAATGTAGACTACAACTTCAGAGTGGATAAAAACAGCCAGTAGCCAAAGTAGCATCAGACTCCATGCAGATCCTTAGAAAAACGAAAAAAAATGGAAACCAATAAGACAATGATTATCTGGATATGCAAAATGTCCTTCAGTAACCTATGCAAATCCAAGCACTTATGAAACACAGGGACTATGTTACCGTAAAAGGGTTGGCCAAGCATAAGGAACCTAAAGAACCAAATGAAATATCGTCAAGAGACTGAGAAGCGTTAGGCATGTCTGGAACTACGTGAAATACCTAGGTTTGCGTTGCGTGTAGAATTTGTCTTGTGCTTGTGGAAGTGTTTGAGAAGATGAGAACTGATGTGTGATGCAGGTTCCTGGGCGGTTTTGCCATCCCAGTCCATTCTATATGACAGTGTTTTCCTACCTCTAATAATTGGCAGCGAAGGATCCCATCAACAGGGAATGTTTGACTGTTTGATGGATAGCAACATCAGGTGTCTAAGATGGAAAGGGACTGGGTAAAGAAATTGGGGTGTCATGATCAGGGATGTTTGATTGTAAGGGTACTGGGAGTGAGACATGTTTAGGGGTATGTGTTGGCTAAGGGGCTGGTGTCTTCACTTGTTTTATCTTTATCAGAAGGGTGTTCTTGACCAAGGGAGCCACTAGTGAAACTATAGATTTTGCATGCCTGACCTCAGAAACTGGAGAATCGGGCGCGCGTACCTATTGCCTTGGTGCTTTATTCTGTGAATGATCCGCACTGATACCAACGTTAAAATGGTGTCCTAACTTACTGCAACAAGTACAGACTGTTTTGAAGCGTGGGCATGCATAACGATTTGAGCAATACATATCACAGCCAAGATATTTCCGTTGGAAGTGAGAAGGCGCGGGTTGTCGTGGTCGCTGCAGTTGTTGGTGCTGTTGGTGTTGGAAAGTAGGTCGTGGCAGCTGTGTGGTCATGCTTATGGGGTGAGCAGGCCCTGGTGATGGTGGCTGGTTCTGAGGAGGCAGTTACTGCAGCTGTTGTTGTGGAGGCTGTCTCTGTCTCGTCACCGGTGGATTGTTACTATGGAGGTCTTGCAGTACAGCCTGCAGAGTTGGTTGCGTTACCTTGGTTATCAAGGAGGCGACCAAATAGTGTCGGTACACCTTTGCATGAGAGGAGAAGCGTTGATCGAATGACGCCTTGATTGTAGCAAGCTATTCGATCTCCGTTGGGTAGCACACGATACCAGTTTAACTGCTCCTTTAAGATAAAGTGGTAACAGTTCGCATTTGCGTTCATCATTGAAGGTGTAAAAGTTTATATATAGTTTAAAAAGTTCTGCCACCAATTCTGACCATTTGCAGCTCCAGAGAACACCTCAAGATTCTCATGTGGCATACTTGAGATATTAGTGTTGACATGTCAAATTCTTGTTGTTGCTGTTGTTGCTGTCCACGTAATTGCAGGTGTCGTCGAAGGATGACAGTCGGAGACACGAGGATAGATGGTGATTGCGACTGATGGACTGAAACAGGACTGAGCAACAACCCCGATTCCTTTATGTGTGATTTTCATTTACTAAAATTACATAATGTCTAAATTAACTTAAACTAAACTTAGTAGAATACAAATATTTCCTGGTGTACTTAATCAGTACTGCATCATTCAAATAACAATAGTGGTATATACTAACAGTATGGAAAGCAATAGAAAACAGGGAAATGTGAACATAATTTAAGAACAATGAATGAATGTGAAGATGACTTACCTTCAAAATACAAAGAGAAGCATCTATTAGTGGCTAGTCTTTATTCGGTGCATTTCATGCGTGACGATTAGTACATAAACCTTATCAAGTAAACGTGGCAATCAAGACGAGCGTTTATCGACACTAACGGATTATAGACTTAAGACGGACCATGCATGAACTATGATATAACCAAGATAAGTATATTATGATCAGTGACAATTAAAGATTAGTTGTTAAAGGACCGTCTTTCTTTAGACGATGTCCGGCCACCTTTTCTAAATATAGCAAAATTAGTCTTATCTAGATTAACTGATTAATCCCATGTTTTAGCATTCCGTTCCAAAATATTCAACTGCGCTTGGAGTCCAACTACAGATTCTGATAAAAGGACTAAGACGTAAGAAAATAAAAGCATAAAAGAGTAAAAAAGATCTGGAAACAGTTGGGTGCCATGCATAGCATTTGCGCTAATATCGTTGTACAATTCATTGATAAACAGGGAAAATAGAATTGGACTCACAATACGTCCTTGTCTTAACTAATGGGTCATTCGAAAAACCCGGTCTATCATCACCACAACGTGCATAAGCTTTGAAATTGGTATACAGTACTTTTAAAATCTAATACAGTCTTCCTTTCAGGCCAGCATTACGTAAAGAGTACCACTATTTAGAGCGATTGATCGAATCAAAAGCTGTACGGAAATCAACAAATGCTACGCATAGTTTACGCTTATGACCGGATAGACATTTCTGGATAGTGTAAAGATATGATCAGAAGTTGAATATTTCTTTCTAAAAGCTGCTTGTGATTATGGAATTTTAGCTGTCATACTTGGCCATTTAGTGAGTCTGTTATTTAGAGCAGGTATACAAACCTTATCTAAAATACTGTAAATCAACAAACTAATGCGTGTATTAAATAATGCGAGGAGGCAAATCAGGAAATGGTTGACCAGAATGACTATACTCACTCACGACTACACTCACAACTTTGGGAAGTACTATACATGTACTAGTATTTAATCAGACTCTAGCGTAAACATCTTAATTCCCAGAACACATGGGCGTTTGGATCAAAGACGGCTTTCCTTTCAACTGTTAGTACTAGTAATTGACAGTAGACAGGATGATCTCAGTTTGTGGCAGCTAATCTCAAGACAAAAGACGATTGATTTGAGGATTAGCGTCATGAAACCTGTTCATGCTCGCTGGATGCAGAGAGCAATTGAAAGGGTAGGCAGAAATCGTGAGGTAATCTTACGTGGATGGCAGTTGGCAGGTCTGCTGGACGTGGTCCAGTGAGTTCAAACTATGTAAACTAGACTGTTTATTCAAAGACTGTAATACAACTTAAATGATTAGTGCTCAATCTTTCTTCCCCAGAATGTATTTTACTTGTTGATATAATATAATGTGCTTGAAACATATTTATTTCATGAAAAAGCAAAGACAGAATTTTCACGAACTGGAATGGTCAACAAGCTCAAAAGAACTTATATGAGGACCGCTCCAATATACATTGATATATGAAACAGTAACATGACAAGAAAAGATGATATCTAAAATGAAAGTAGATGGTATGACATGTAGTCGGAATAAATTTATTTAACAGAACTGTAATATCTAGACATTTTATAGTTTGCCAATGCGAATCATAATTCGCACACACACTTTGTGTATGTTGTCTGTCTCATTACACTTCAAGGCGAAAACAATGATTCTGTTGAATGCTACGACAAATGAATAAAAAACAAAATGCAAATATTAAAATTAAAACAGATTAAAATTACAGGAACAATATCATGCCATTACCTTGTTTGAGGAATGTATCCCTCAACATCCACAAAACTGTTCCAAATGATGTGTCTTTTAACAGTTTACTATACGAAAAAGTGATAAATCTTTTCAGGTATTGGTGTATAGTCTCATTGGTGACCCAAGATAGCACACCTGGCAACTTTCTTTAAAAACAGTAATTTAGTTAGCCAATAATGGGCAATCAATCCATGTATTGCCGGTTAATCCTTTGTAAGAAGGACGTTGCTTTTACGCAGACACCGACACGGCAGAGTGTATTCAGTATAGATTAGTAAATCTACATACATAAACACTACCTTTTGACAAATCCGCTGTGTTAGATAAAAGTAATTAATCAATGAGCGTATTATCGGTTAATCCTTTGATCGATGTTTATAATGTTGAATATTTACTCCAGACACAAGAAATGCCAAATGGGAACCTTTGTTGGGTAATCTAAGTGTGTTACCACTAATTATACCTGTTATAAATTCATTAACTGACCATCAAGTGAATGATGACAAATAACATGTGTAGGTTTATACCACCTAACACGGGATACAACAAGGGAGTATTAATTGCTGTATTGCATGTGAAAACTTATGGGCCGACACTGTTTTGAGAATACAAACAGATTTTTACATGACATGATTAAATATCGAGGTAAGAAAACACAGAAATGGGATCAATTTGGATCAGTCATTATACAAATAGGGCCTAACGACACCAATCGATTTTGACAGAATCGTCTATGAAAACAAGTCTATGAAACTAGGTAAAGCAGGAGACAAAATTAAATGACAGTAGATTGTGAGAGCATATAGCTTTCATTTTCCACAACAATTGTCACGATTTCAGGTTTATACAAACATGTAAACAAGATAATTTACCCCCTAAAATGTAGATGAATTCTGCATCGGCCCTCAAAGCGATTCCTCATATGACGTCACAGAGACGCGCCGCTCTGATTGGTTGAAATTTCGTTCGCGGGTGAGAATTGTGCACTGTTGTCAAAAAGGTCGATTTAAGTCAATTAAAGGTCGAAATGAGTAGTTTTAATGACGGGGTTTCATTTATAACGATGCCAGTTAGTGATTTATGTATTTGTACCCCGTAGTGTATATGTGATCTTTAACAACGTTGACTGGGATTCCATCTGTAGATGTAATGCTATTGATATACTAACACATGAATTTGTTGATGTTTTGAGAAATATATGTGATATTTATGTCCCAAACAATGTGGTAACAATAAGACCTCGGGACAATCCATGGATGAATAGTACTATAAGAATACTTATCAGGAAAAGAAATAGACAGCATAAGAAAGCAAAGACTCGAAATTATGATAAAGACTGGCAAAAATTTAGGCTTTTACAGAACAAAGTAACAGCAGCCGTGAGAGCAGCCAAATTGAAATATATTTCTGATTTAGATGATAAGATCAATCAGGGGAGTAATTCTAAATTTTGGTGGGCTTTAGTGAATAAGTATATAAAATCCAAAAATGGAGATTATAAGAAATTTCCTTCGATTATTCATAACGATAATATGTTCAATGATAGTAAAGATAAAGCAAATATATTTAATGAATATTTTGCTGACCACGCATAAGTTGACTATCCTGATAAGGAGACTCCTACACTTGAATATAAAGTAAAGACTCCTCTTGCGTCTATTGTATTGACTACACAAGAAGTAAGAGACATCCTATTATCAGTTGATATTTCCAAAGGCAGTGGACCAGACAAAATAGGTAACAGATTTATCAAAATGATCGTGCCATCCCTTTGTACTCCTCTTACTAATCTATTCAATTTATCCCTAGAATATTGGAAATTCCCAACAATATGGAAGGAAGCTATTGTCATTCCTATTCATAAAAAGGTAGTTTTAATGAATGTAAAAACTATAGACCAGTTGCTCTTACCAGCTGTTTATCAAAGGTATTTGAGAAATGTATTTTTAAACATGTGTTTAACTCTTTTGTAGATAATAACGTATTAACGAATTTGCAGTCAGGATTCATGCCTGGGGATGGAACTGTATACCAACTGACATACTTGTATGATTTCATACTACATGTATGGGCATGTTTTCTGTGACATAAGCAAGGCTTTAGACAAAGTTTGGCATAAGGGAATCATAGCGAAATTAGAAGCTTATGGTATTAAGGGTAAGTTACTTGATTGTTTTTTTCTGTTATCTTGACAATAGATTATAGAGAGTAGTTATAGACAATTCCAATTCAGATCTAAAGAAAGTCACTGCTCGGGTGCCACAAGGATCTGTCCTTGGGCCGTTACTGTTTTTAGTTTACATAAATGATATCATTGAGGGTATCAGTAGTAACATTCGTCTTTTTGCCGATGATACTTCGGTACATGTTATTGTTGATAATCATGTTGTTACTGCCGCTTCCTTAAATAGTCACCTAAACAGGATCTCTCACTGGACTGAACTATGGCAGGTTAGCTTTAATCCTGGTAAGCCTCAAGCTGTTTTATTCACTCGCAGAAATACCGGTAATCAACTTCCAATTCCTAAGCTTAAAATGCATGGAGTAGACATTACTGAAGTCGGCTACCATAAACACCTAGGAGTAACCTTGCAATCAGACTGTAAATGGAATTCCCACATTGGTGAATTAGTTGAAAAGGTTCGTCCATTGGTAAATTGTCTACGCAGTTTTAAATACAGATTATCTAGAAAATCATTAGAGCAAATGTCCAAGTCATATATATTACCAACGTTCGATTACTGTTCGCACCTTTGGGATAACTGTACTAAAGAACAAGAAAAACTTGTCGAAAATCTACATTTAGACGCACTGCGGACGATTTGCGGGGCAGTTAGAGGAACAAGTCATGATTTAATATATATAAGGAAACTAACTCTATGCCCCTAGTTGACCGAAGACAAATTAGCAAGTGATCATTATTTTACAAAATGGTTCATCATATCACACCAGTTTATTTAACTGATCTACTGCCCGAAAAAGTATCACAGTTAAGTGACCATAGATTAAGAAACAGAAATAACATTCAAACTATAAGATGTCGTAGTGACTTGTATAGCAACTCGTTTTTACCTGATACAATACGACAATGGAATGATTTGCCCGAGAGTATGTACGATATTGAAACCATAGGCCAATTCAAAAATGCATTCCAATCATCTAAACCACCCAATTTAAATATATTCGATAAAACCTTTGGTACACGTTTCTGCCAAATTATCCACTCACGCCTCAGACTTGGGTGCAGTAATTTGAAAGCGCACATGTTTGAACGGCACATTTCAGTTGATCCATTCTGTTCCTGTGGTCACCCCTATGAGGATACTTTACATTACTTCTTTACTTGTCCTAATTATTCTAACATCAGACATCGCATGTATTTTTACGAACATGGATTTAATTTAAATTCTGTCCTAAATGGTAATCCAAACAAAAATGTAGTTGTAAATTCTTTCATACTACAATCTGTCCATACTTTTATAATAAAATTGCATAGGTTTGATAAATGATTAATAATGTTTCATACGCAGGTTGCTTGCTTTCCTATCATGCTGCATATTACTTAATATTTGTTTTATTCATGTATCATGTTCAGATAAGCCATTACGGCTTGTTTACCAATCCTAGTTCAATTTATTTTGAATAAAATATGTTTACACTATAAAAGCTTTGCTGATATCGCAAAATACTGCACGTATTTCCTTACCTTCGTCCATTGCCTTGGCTATGAAATTATACAAATATGTCAACTGATTCATGCAAGAGTCCCCTGGGATAAAACCTGACTGTAAATTGGATAAGATGTTATTGCCTCTGAGATAGTTGAAAACATGTTTGAATATACATCGCTCAAATATTTTAGATACACAACTAGTTAAGGCTACTGGTCTGTAATTTGTACAATCATTTACACTTCCCTTTTTGTGAATCGGTATAACGCTTGCTTCTTTCAAAACTGACGGGAATGCGCGTTGTTGAAGTGATAGATTAAAAAGTCCCGTTAAAAGGGGTGAAATACTGACAGCAATTAATTTAAGAATTCTATTTCCAATGCCGTCGAGGCCGGTTGCCTTCGCAGTATTAACACTCATTAAGATATCATATACTTCACTGTTATTATTCACTGTTGTTTTTATTTCTCTTCACGTAATTATTGACTAATTTCCACCAACATTTGTCCGTAGTGGATCGATTTATCGTTTCATCTAGTTTACTTGCATACGCTCTTTTCGCTTTTCGGATAGCCGAGATTATTCTATTTCTACTTTGTCTGAATCGAGCCCAACGGGTAACAGAGTTTTGCCTCTTAGCGAGCTGATGATGTCTATTGCACTTACGTATTAGCGATCTAATTTCTTTATTCAATCAAAGTGGATCCGATGGTCGAATAGTAACAATTTTATTTGGGATATTTTTGTCACAAGTATTCCTTATTATAGTCGTTAATTTATTTGCTATATCATCCACGTGGTTGTTTAAGAATAAGTCATTAGTGTCAAGATTATTGATATCAGAAATCATACCATTAACGTCCATATGTTGATAATCATATATTTTACGTTTAAATGTATCACACCTGGGTCTAACAGATTTGATATCAACATATATCGGACAATGGTCACTGCACATAGAGTCTAACACCCCGCGATCCTGCACATTTTGCATAGTGGATATAGTATAAATATGAGATCAATTAAAGTACTGGATTGCGGGGTGATTCGAGTTGGTTTGTCAATAATTTGGGTTAGTCCGTGTAAGGATTCCAATAATTGAATTTTACGATTGCTTTCCTTTAAAATATCTACATTAAAGTCGCCAGTAATAACAGTAAATAAGTTAAGATCAACAGCGTTTCCAATTGACTGATCAATTAGTTCCCAGTACGCAATGCTCCGGTCAGCTCTGTAGAAGGTACTTGTGAGGTAGGCACGATGTTTACATTTAACATAAACCCATACGGCTTCAAGTCCAGCAATGTCGAGTTGGTGCATATGCTCCGCATACAAATTGTCTTTAACATATATAGCCACACCGCCCCCGCGACTCCCTCGATCTTTCCGGAATGGAGGTTGAAATCCCGGTATAAGAATATCATCGTTCGGAATGTCTTTATGCAACCACGTTTCAGTTATGCAAATGATATCAAAAGAATTAAATTTAACTTCTTTAACAACCAATTTGTCTTTGAGGCTGCAAACATTTAGGTGGACTATCTTTAAAGTATTTAGTACTGGGCCAGGGTTAGGATGTACGTCTCCACAACAGAGTATTAGAAGAGATGCGATAATACTAACCGATTTGCTGAAAACGCAAAGATGTCGGGATAGAAAAGTGAAAATATTTTGTTTACAAGCTGCATATGAGTGTAGCCCGACTGCAAATGTCCCCACTGCCTGTCTGTACTGACTGATGTCAACTGGCATCTATACATTCAAACATTCTATTGTAGGCAGCGGGTAGATGCACATCAAAACCATCATGTACTTGTTTTAAATACACACAAAATGTCATTTCTTTCAACATATAAGTTTGCAAATAGATATCATGGTCAACTGAGGGAGAGTAAAAGCATCCAGTAAAGTCAAAGAAAGTGTTTTTACATAAGTAGAGAAAAGAAAGAAAACATGTAAAAAAGAGGAATGAAAAAGTCCACACCATCATTTCGATGAGATGGGGAAATACCATGGTGGAAACAGTATGGGTAATTAAAATGAAATAATTTGTACAGAAAGGGGAAACATGCCATTAACCTGCTAATTGCTATAAAAAGCAATAGTAGGGAATAAAAATACCTAAGGTAAGTTTGTATATCATTGTTAATTTTTTATTAATTATATTTATGTCTATAATCGCTAGAGGTTGTGTATGTTACCTTACATACATCAGAAACAAGTGTGTATGTTTAACTATAATATTAACTATAAATAGTATTGAAAAATAAAATAAAATTATAAATAAATAAATAAAAATAATAAATAAATAAATAAATAAATATACATATACACACATACATACATATATATACATACACACATACACACACATACATACTTATACACACACATACATAAACACACATACACACATATACATATGCAAAAGTATTAATAGTAATAGTAAAGCAAATGAAAACATATATATAAAATATCATAATAATAACAGTGTTCAGATATCAAAGGAAGTCAGTCAACACGAACTTCAACAGCAGTAGCATGTTCAACAACAACAAAAAACGTTACATAACTCGTGCGAGGTCACGTCATCTAAGCCGCATGGCTCGTGGATACCTGCCGGCTGTGAGCTCAAATATCTATGGATAATTGTGAAAACAGACAACCTTGCGATGTCGATGTTATTGTGTCAATAAAGGAATTTTTGTGAATCAATCGTTCGTCTTTGTTCACTGGGTTATCGTGACCCAAATACTAGTAATAACGATATCGAGTGCAAAAGACAATATAATAATGCGAGATTTATTAATGCGCTTCAGATATAGTCGCATTTTTCGCATTAATAAGTAGCTCTCATTATTTCATCTGTTACGTTCTTTACAATACAATATTCTCTATAGATATTATCGTTACGTTAATTAAGTCTAAATGTCTTCAGAGATTTTTGTGCAACCCATCGTGAAGCCTTACACTCAGCATTTATGGGTGGATTGTTTCGCGGTGGTGCGATCGATACACGTTTCTTCATACGTCTGGCAGAATTTAAACGCATACTTACAAAATCATAATAGCATCTTCTACATGACTGTCAGGTCTGATAACAAGACGCGATTCTCTCTTGAAGATTAAGTTACACAAAGACTCATTCCAACAATAATCAATAATTGCTTTTTTCCATTAGAGATGAATCCGTTGTTTAATTACCTTTAGTGCAAATATCGACTTAATAAATTTGATACATATAAAATTGTCAAACTCAGATTTGCTGAGATATTGAACACATACGCAGACACCACCAGAAAGTCGACCATACTCGGAGAGTTTTACTGCTGGGCTATATAAGATATCAAAGTCATGTCACCAATCAACATCGGAAATATGTCAATAAATGTTTCTACAAGACAAACAATTTTGAAATGGCATACAATTTTGAAAGTCATTGTCATAGATTTTGGGTTTTAAACGATTCACATTCCAGAGAAAAAATTTAAAAGTTCCATCACAACACTGATATTCAGAATCATCAGACAGGATTCTACTTTGACGTGCATTCTTATATGTTTCTGTAGGGAGCCTGCAGGTGTAAATACTTTCCCAAACCAAACACAGTGATAGGTCCCCGCTGCCTGATTGAAAAGTGAATTCGCATGTGTTTCTAAAGAGTACATGGCATTCTCAAGGTTTGATTCCTGTGTGAATGCAGACAGGGAGACTATATAACGTTGTGTTTCAGGTGTTGCAGATTATCCCTGCTGCAGGTGAACTGAATGAAGATATGTGCAATAGATGTATGCATGTAAAAGTGCTAATGAAATGTGTAAAATAATTGTGTAACTGTGTGAGATATTTTTTTTTCTTTTTGTACTTAAAGTCATCATTAAATATTGGGTAACCAAATATTCTCTGACCGGCTTGGGTGACCAAATATCACAGACCGACAGGGGAGCAAAATAAGAATTTCACGTTTTGTTCTCAGGGATTATCGCGCTCCACTGATCTAGAACCTTTAAACAATAGGTGCCGACAAATGGGAATACCCGAACTGATTGCGTAAATTTCCTCCCACATTCACCATATTCATAAGGCTGTGTGAATCATCATATATTTCTGCGGGCAACCTGATTGTGTGAATGTTTTCTCACACACAATGCACTTACGAGGCTTCATTCCACTGTGATTCGTCACGTGTATGTGCAGCTGACATGTCTTTGTAAATTTGTTTTTTTCAGAAGGTCACTCGAATGTGTAAATTTCCCCACATTAACACATTAGTAATGTTTGATTCCACTGTGAATCTTCATGTGTCTCCGCAGTTTACCTGAAACTGCAAATGTTTTCCCGCATTCAATACATTCATGAGGCTTGATTCCTGTGTGAATCATCATGTGTTTCTGCAGGCAACCTGATTGTATAAATTGTTTCCCACATTCAACACATCCATAAGGCTTGATTCCTGTGTGAATCCTCATGTGTCTCTGTAGGTGACCTGATAGTGTGAATGTTTTCTCACACACAATGCAGCGATGAGGCTTGATTCCACTGTGTATCCTCATGTGTGCCTGCAGATGACATGATTGGGTAAATGTTTTCCCACATTCAACACATTTGTGAGGTTTTATTCCTGTGTGAATCCTCATGTGTCTCTGTAGGTGATTTGATTTTGTAAATGTTTTCTCACACACAATGCACTGAGGAGGCTTGATTCCACTGTGTATCCTCATGTGTGTCTTCAGCTGACATGAGTGTCTAAATTTATTCCCACATTCAACACATTCATAAGGTTTGATTCCTGTGTGAATCCTCATGTGAGAATTCAGATGACCTGAATGTGTGAATGTTTTCTCACAAACAATGCACTGGCAAGGTTTGATTCCACTGTGTATCCTCATGTGTGCCTGCAGATTACCTAATCGTGTAAATTTATTCCCACATTCAACACATTCATAAGGTTTGATTCCTGTGTGAATCCTCATGTGTGAATTCAGCTCACCTGATTGTGTAAATGTTTTCTCACACACAATGCACTGATGAGGCTTGATTCCGCTGTGTACCTTCATGTGCTTCTGCAGATAACTTGAGCGTGTAAATGTTTTCTCACACACGATGCAGCGATGGGGCTTGATTCCACTGTGAATCATCGTGTGATTCTGCAGGTTACCTGATTGTGTAAATGTTTTCTCACACACAATGTCTTGATGAGTCTTGATTCCACAGAGAATATTCATGTGATTCTGCATGTTACCTGATTGTGTAAATGTTTTCTCACACACAATGTCTTGATGAGTCTTGATTCCACAGAGAATATTCATGTGATTCTGCATGTTACCTGATTGTGTAAATGTTTTCTCACACACAATGTCTTGATGAGTCTTGATTCCACAGAGAATATTCATGTGATTCTGCATGTTACCTGATTGTGTAAATGTTTTCCCAAGCACAATGCACTGATGAGGCTTGATTCTACTGTCAATCCTTGTGTGGTTCTAAAGAGTACCTGATTGTGTTATTTTCCCCCACATTCAACACATTGGTAAGGGTTGATTCCACAGTGAATCCTGATGCGCGTCAGCAGATTATCCGATTTTGAAAATGTTTTGTCCACATGTTTCCCAATATTAGGTGATAGTGTGAATGTTTTCTGACATTCGCCATGCTGATAAGACTCCGCTATGATAAAAAATATTTTTTAAGTGATCTGATCTGAAAAATGTTTTCCTGCACTCACTTCATGTATGAGACTGCCTTGTTGGACCACAATCGTTTCTCATATTTCCAGGATTCCAATCACTGGATATTTCATGAGATCACCAATTGTCAGGGTTCCAATGATGGTTCTTTCTTGAGATCACCTGTTTCCAAGGTATCAATAACATATCTTTCTGGAGATCCCCATTTTTTTCAGCAAACCCTATAAACAGATTGCATTGGTTTCAGTGACAGAAAGGATTCTGTTATGGTGTTTACTGAAAGCATAAGAAACATTGTCACACTCTTATAACAAGTAGGGCAGAGACCATACACAATATGATGGCATGACATGTAGCATGAAAACAAACCTGATTCCGTAAAAATGTCTTCCCATACACAACACTTAGCGGAGTGATTTTCAATAGTCAGTATGGAAAATACCAATGGCAGGATGTATAGTTATCCTCTCTATAGCCTCACAATGACTTGTATTCAGCTGATTAATGTCCATACTTTAACTGATGTTTCATATTTAAGGGCTATGAGGTGATATACATCATTGTGTAAAATTCGTTAAAAGCAATGAATATATTCGAATATTCTTTTCCCAATATTGTCATAAGCACACGCAAAGTTTGAAAACACTGCATTGAAATAATTCAAATATGTCTTCATGTGAACATAATTAGATCTATCAAAATTAATGCCTTTCCATATCAATATCATTCAGATGGCAGATATCATAAGGAGTGACACACCCTAACATTTTTAAACACTTGGAGTGTATTTAAATCGGGCAAACGAACACTTCGTTGGGTGACAAGTTTTAAACATATGTTTTCCAACAACATATATGGTTGTCTTTGTAACGAAATGTCGGGTCATATCGCCATGATCGGGGAAAAATAATCTACACACAATTTATGTTTATGCTTCCTACGAATATGGGAAGACGTTATGCTATGAAATTCAAGGCCATTCAGTTGTGTGTATTACGTATACGAGTGTGTGACTACAGCGAGGAGACATGCGAACACATATGATGCTCTTTAATTGCTGGTACACACGCATTGCACCGAACACCTACCTACCTGGCGGAAAGGGTCCAGTGCAATGCATTCTTACCGAAGTGTCGATGCTTTCCGTCACTGAGAGTAACAATCGGTGTTATTCTCGGGGTGTATAAACGCTCGTGCTTGTGTCTATAGTTATTTTCTTCCATGTTATCTATAGTTAATATACGGCTGGTACAACGTCGTTGTCAGGAGGAGGCGTTGCCTGGATCAGAGAACAGAACAACGAACATGGTTGATAGTGGAGATAGTGAACGGTAACAGATCGATATCGAGGATCACCAACAAACGAGACACAGTTCCAAGACTAGATGTTACTGAATGCTCTACATTGGAAATCATTCCAATTGTAGTCTGTTATATTTACTTACGTTTGGGTTTCGAATCCCATCCTCGTCGCCAATTGCAGTGTATCACCTTCACATATCACCATACAACATCTTCTTGTTTCACACACTTTAATCGCCCAAGAGAAACATTAGAGGTACATCGCTAGGTTGGAAGATGGCCGCCGAGTGACGTCACATAGCACTCGCTTATATTTATACTCGACCCTAAATAATCTCTAACCCAGCCATGCGGCCAGCCCATGCACGTGAATAACATGAATATCCTCAATACAAAGTTCAACCAATCAATACATTACACTACTATGTACGACCTCTGGGGGTGATCAAACTATAATATTAGAGCAGATCTTCCGTTGCGAGTGCGGCGTGTAGCTATTTTTAGAATACGCTGGTTTCCCGTCTATCTCCTCAACGACCTGGTCCCCTGGCGGCTACATCATAGTGGCAAAGGCTGTGTAGCGCCCGCGCTGAATACCCAGAAAACCAGGTTGACACCTCAACAGAGGCCGGGGACCAGTCTGTTTTTACTGTGACCCAGCACTTTGCACAACACTGGATTTAGAGAAAATTCATCACTAAATCAATACAATGATGTTAACTGTGCACAATATAGAGTTGAAAAGTTAACATTTATATTTTATACTTTATTATTTTTCTTGTTATAAATTTAACCTGTATTTATTACGTGTCTATGACTCAGTAGAGTGCTTAGAACACCTTTATGACTCCTTCCTAGCCAAACTCTTAATTTTGAGTACGTGGTTAAAGCGTTCGTCACGCCGAAGACCCGGTTTGGATTCCCCACATGAGTACAATGCGTGAAACCCATTTCTGATATTGATATTGCTGGAGAATTGCTAAAAGCGGCGTAAAACTAAATTCAGCCAGCCAGCCAGTTTTATTTTGAGGTTGCATAACGAATTTTGAACAACAGTCATTTGATGGTTATGCTGTTAGTTTTTGTTGTGGGGAATTTACCTTTATCGACTACATATCATTTCAGACTTTCAATCACTTGCTGATCAAACGTTGGCCCGTTCAAGATGAAGACATCCAAGACACTAACTGGAACGTAATCAGCCACCTAACTTCAGGTGTCAAGTCTTATTTACGCAGCATTACGTCGCACATTTTGTATAAAATCAGTTCATCACTGCGCCGGGGTTTGTTATCTTGTTATTAGCAAATCATCGTAATGATGAAATTCATATCAACGTTTTAGCAATGTTTCAACAATATCACCATAAATGGGCTTCACACATTTTAATCATGTGAGGAATCGAACTCAGGTCTTCGGCATGACGAGCGAATGCTTCAAAGCTACGCCACCACCCGGGAACGATTATTGAAATTGAGCATATATAACCATTATGTTTTCTATTTGAATGCGAAAACACACGACAGAACATAAACCCACCTCAGTGTATATTTGTTTTAATACCATCCATGGATTTCTACACGTAATTGTGTGACAAAATAATTTTCTTTGAAACGTTGGTGATTTTATTATATTATAATCAATCTCTTTTGGTGGCCGAAAACACAACCCGTGAAGATCGGGCTTACAACGTAGTCTTCAGTTACCTAGTTGTAGGGTATAGGATGGTCAGACTCTCCAATTTGGTTGATATGAGGAACGTGAGATGGTTGCTGGACTGGATGTCCTTCTTCTCAAGATTAATTGTGAATGTGATGAATCCTATATTGGTGTTACCTCACGTCCCGTTTATATCCACATTAAAGAACATAAAACCTCAACAGCAAAATCAGACAGCAAATCAGCCCTCTCCGATCACCAACAGAAATTCCAACCCATCAAATCAAGTTTGACAAATTTGAAGTCCTATCAACCAAGAATCAGGACTTCACAAAAAGAAAACTCTTGGAAGCCATCGAAATCCGCCGCCACAAACCTTTGATTAACAGAGACCAAGGATACTATATACCATCGGCCTATGAAGAACTAATCACACTATAGACTCTCAGAATGCATCCAATCAGCTTGTTATTACAACTTATCCCCCTTATTCCCAGTCTCATTTGTTATTCTTAGTCTCCCACTGGCCTCTCATAAATATGTACCAGTTGTTATTCAATTACATGTTGTTGTTAATGTTAATCTGCTGTTGTCAATACATACTGTGTATATATACCCCTCTACATCTGGTTGTATTCACTTTTAGCTTGATAACGATGTAAGAATCTACATCGAAACGTCGCTCTATGCAATAAATAAGAAGTTGTCATCCATAAAGTTGTAAGTTTCATTTCTGAGTCACCAACTTCTAGAAAACTAATCAAACAATTAAAAATCTCAAGCGCAAGAAACATAAAACAAAAATCATAAACCATAGATTGGTAGTGCAAAAGAATACCCAGTCTAATTAATCCTCAGAAGAAATTACGGTTGATGTAAGGCAAAGTACAGCCGCGAAAATTATATGAGTGTATCACTGAAAATCAGTGATGACACCAGGTGTCACACTCAACGTACGTGACAACTGCTATTAAGCCCGACAGGTAAATATGTCAGATTAAAAGAGAAGAATGAGTTGAGGATAAATTGTAACTTTAGAATTAATTTCCTTCCAAGATACATGTTTAGATGTAGGCAGTTAAACTGCATCTGTATATACATTTTAGGGACACACAGCTATCTCTCATCGAGTATTTGCATAGCATTCCCAAGTGATACACATTAAGGGGTACATCTACGGAATACAACGTTTCTGGGTATTTTCTTATTGATGAAGCTAAGAAGTAAGCATGTCCTTCTGCTGACGAAGGAGCAAGTCCGGAAAGTATCGCAAAGATACCTTCAATTGTATATTTATTCTAGTTTTGCATTAGCAAATGTTTGCAGTATCACAGTCTCAAACGTATACAGTTTTCATATCAACATTTGTGTTGGAATAATCTGGTTCTACCGGAGAAATTCAGTATGAAAATATATACTGTCCTACTCTAGAGCAAATGCAAGTGAACGGAGTTACAGTGGAAGAAATCAAAGAGTAGCTGAGTCATGTCTCTTTTCTTTGAGAGTGAAAAGTATCAATAAACACTACATTTATTGAATGTTTAACCTAATAATTACAAAGAGTTGTATAACTCTTGTTACTTTTGACTTGGTTATAGTGACCTTGACCTTGACATGTATAACAGACATACATCAGACCGGCCAGTCTGTTCCTGCTAATGTCACACCGAAAACCCTTCACATTATTTCTTTACGTATGTGAGATATACACTGATAGGAAGTAACTCGGATTTTTACTGTCATGACTGAAAACCATTATAACATGTATAAATGGACACGGATATTTTGACTACTTCTGGAAGCATGAACATTCTGGAATCACTCCACTATTCCTATCACAAAATCACAACGTTTTAAAGCATTCAGTGACAAAATAATTGGTAAAAGAAAACATATTACCACTTTACCTGCACATCAGCCTCAAGTCCAATAACTCCTCATACCCAGTATTACACATCAAACTGTACTGTAGCCAAATTACATGTGTGTGTTTTCATCTGATAGATGTAGAAATACATGTCACACTTATTGGTAGTCATCATACTTCTGTGTTTCATTAATATCGCGTGAATTACATTCAGCGGTCTTAAATCACAATAAAGGACGTAAAATTGAAAACAGAGTAGCTTTATTATCTACTTAAACAGAACTCACTCACCCACAATCTTCTATCATAAACCAATTCGCTGCTGTTTGAATATGAGAATATTGAAACAGTATGTTGTGTTACTGTTTCTACCTAGAATTATTTCGGGGAATTAGCTCCGGAATCTCCACAAACAGAGGGGGATCTCAGGCAAAGCAGGAATCTGTATTCTTTAGATAATCAATGAATAAATGAATGAATGAATCAATCAATAAAAGACGTGAATCATGATCAGTTACAGACATGTAACATTCAAGTAATGAATTAAGTAAGACAATTAATCATTCTGACATGATAGTTGATGACGTACATCATATGTCTTATTAAGCAATATCTATAAATGACATAATTCAGTGAACGTACATTGTGCATGCCACTGAAGACTAGTAATTCACCGTAACGATATAATACAAATACATAGCATAACATTCTTCACTCACATTATTCATAAACATTCCTATTAAGGGTATCTCGAATATTTGCTTGAATAATGAAAACTACTATTACAATTTTAAACATTGTAGAATATTCGGGTAAACGCGGTAAAGGGAGATCAATGCTAAAACATATGTGTAAATACTTCAACGTAATAATTTGCTTGAAACATTCACATACTTCATAATTTGATTTCCAAATGAAACAAATGAACATTTGGATATCCGGTAAAGAATCTGATACAAAATAAGATATACTTCAACATTTATGACTTACTAATAGCATGAAAATGATGAGTGCACACTTGTATGAACAACTGCTTCAGTTTGCATTCATCCTTTACAGACAAAACTGTTTGACTATGTGTTACAAACCCCAAAGACGTAAATGTACCCTACATGCTTTACATGAAGTGGCTGTGTATTTAAAGGCTCCATGACTACGACCTTCTGTCTGACTTTTTCCGACCTGCGTGACAATTTTGACAAAAGATACCGTGAAACCTATCTACCAACGCCCAAAACATAGCCCGAAATTTCAAATGTGGGGGGTGGGATATGATCACGTGGATTGACGCGGTTGTGTATTTGCCCTGGAAATTTCACGAAGAAACAATATGTTGACATCTTAAATGATCACCTCCTTCCATCGGCCCGAACGCTGTATGAAGGTTATTGGATTTCCCAGCATGATAACGACCCAAAACAAACTAAACAAAACAGTGGTTGTCGAACGAAAATGTTCAGGTTTTGGACTAGCCTAGCTACAGCCAACATCTCAACCCTATTGAGAATGTGTGTAATGAAGGACAGAATAAACCCAAAAGGACTTAGAAACATTAAGGATATGACAAAAAGAAGTGGTCGAATATTGGGATACGTGTGTCACACGATTTCCTACAAACTTTGATTGGTTGTGTACCTAGGCGCATTCAGTCATGTATTGCAGGGCGAGGAGGTCTCAAAAGGTACTGAAAAGACACTTAGACTGTAAGAGAATCATATATCAACATTTTCATCATTTCAGTAAAAGTTCTATAGTTTATTTACAAGTTTGTCACACACACATCATTTGTCTCACACACATCACACATTTCATTTGTCACACACATTTCATTTGTCTCACACATTTGTCACACGATTTCCTACAAACTTTGATCGGTAGTGTACCTAGCCGCATTCAGTCGTGTATTGCAGGGCAATGAGGTCTCACAAGGTACTGAAAAGACATTTAGAC